CGCAAGGATCTGTATCTCAGAAGACAGAATCGTGCCTACTACAGGAGAATATACTACACCTATTAAATGAAACAGTGTGACGTATGATATTTTACAATTTGTTATATTTTAAGAACAAATTCAAAAATTATTTGAGATTATAGATGTTGTAATTAAGACAGAATTTAACAAATATGACTTAGAAGGAGACATTTAAAATTACAAAAAATAATGTCTGCTAAATTAAAAAATAAACTGATAGCAATACATATTATTCTTAAAACGTAAATTAAAAATTGTAAGCTGCTTTTAATAAATATGTTGTATTCATCAATTTAAAGTTCATTTGTCATGTCTTATTTTGAGAGATATTATAGTAATATATTCTAATATATTTTATTATTTGTTAAAATTTATAAAATCATGAAATAGAAAATGAGACTTAGATAATCTCACAGGTCTTAATAAATTGTAGTCAATATTAAAAAACAACATACAGAAAGAATGTCAAAAACTAAAGTTTAGCTTTGTAATAAAAAGACTTATAGTTTGACTCTTTTATGGTAAAACCATTCAATTTTTTAATGTGGTAAATTTATTTATTGGCGTGTATAGGTAAACAATTGTGTATTTTACAATAATGAAATCCGACCTTTAAAATTTACTTTATCACACTAAATATAAGCCGAATTTGCTGTGGTAACGTGCATAGTTATCTACTTATATGATCTATAAATGATTTATTACATTGAATACTATGCAAATGCACTGAAGTAATATTCTTACTGTTATTTTTAATCAAAATTAAAATTTTATTTTAATAATTAATACATCTAAGATTAACATTGAAGTGTGAATATAAATTATAAAAAATAAAATTTTAATTTTAATAAAAAATAATACTAATAATACTCAATAAATTCTTTTTATCTTAAAAACAAATTTATTAGTATATATGTTACTAATATTTTTTTATATTATTAGTGATTTCATGAATCCCAGTCAAGGATTATTTTAAACAGTTAAAAATAATTAGCTTTTATTAAAAAAAATATATTTAAGATAATAATTATGTTTTGAATAAAAATAATAATCTAGTTGGTTATCCTAAACTCTACACTTAACTTTAGCATTTTTTCTGTTATCAGCAACTAAGTTTTGATTCTGGTACTTACCATTTTATCGATCCTTTCTTATGCAGGTGGCTCATTTGCGTACCTAAGAGTAGAATTGGGAGACTTTGTAGCTTTCATAGCTGCTGGAAACATTCTCCTTGAATATGTAATAGGTTTAGCCGCCGTAGCTCGGTCATGGACCTCTTATTTTGCCACCCTCTGTGACAAACATCCTAATGACTTTCGAATAATAGTCCACAACATGAACCCTGACTATGGCCATCTTGACCCCATATCCATTGGAGTCCTCATAGCCATCACCCTCCTTGCAGTGTACAGCACCAAAAGCTCCTCCATCTTCAATTACATTGCCTCAATCTTCCACCTAGTTGTCCTTGCCTTCATTATAATCGTTGGCCTCACCAAGGCCAAGAGCGAAAACTACACTCCATTTGCCCCATTCGGAGTTCATGGTGTGTTCAAAGCTTCAGCTGTTCTTTTCTTTGCATACGCTGGCTTTGATGCAGTCTCAACTATGGCTGAAGAAACAAAGAACCCTGCTAAGGACATTCCCATTGGTCTTGTGGGTTCAATGGTGGTTACGACTGTGACATATTGCTTGCTAGCAGTGACAATATGCCTCATGCAAAATTACAAAAACATTGACACAGATGCTCCATTTTCAGTTGCGTTTACTGCTGCGGGAATGGATTGGGCTCGCTACATTGTTGCTTTGGGTGCATTGAAGGGAATGACCACTGTGTTGTTGGTGAGTGTGGTAGGTCAAGCTCGTTATCTAACCCACATCGCACGTACCCACATGGTGCCTCCCTGGTTTGCTCATGTTGATGAGAGGACTGGGACACCCATGAATGCCCATTTCTCAATGCTCGTTGCAACTTCCGTGATTGCTTTCTTCACTGATCTTAAGGTTCTATCCAACCTCTTGTCAATTTCCACTCTTTTCATCTTCATGCTTGTGTCTGTTGGGCTTCTTGTGCGTCGTTACTATTCAAGTGGGGTAACCACAAAAGGGAACCAAGTGAAGCTCATTGTATGCCTTGTGCTAATTATTGGATCTTCATGTGCCATTTCTGCCTATTGGGAAAACAGTGATGGTTGGATTGGGTATACAATTTTTGTTCCGTTGTGGTTTTTAGGGACGGGAGGTCTTTGGCTTTGTGTTCCACAAGCGAAGAAGCCAAAACTTTGGGGTGTGCCCTTAGTTCCATGGATACCTTCTTTGTCTATTGCCCTTAACATTTTACTTGTTGGGGCTATTGATAAAGATTCTTTTATCAGGTTTGGAGTGTGGACTGGGTTTCTCTTGGTATACTATGTGCTCTTGGGATTACATGCTTCTTATGACACAGCAAAAGAGTTTGATAGCAAAAAACGTTCCGTGGAGGTTGACAAGGAGTGGAACAAGGTGGAAGAGGGGGGAAATGGGGAACTTCCTCTTACAGAAGTTTCAAGTAATTGATATGTAAATGGGTAGCATAGAACTATCTAATTGGTTTCTACAAATAATTCGTTTACGATTATTCCAAGTTGTGGATGTGTGAATGCGTTTGTTACTTTGTGATGCTAAATTGTACATGTGGATTTGGCAAAGTGCCCAAAATCGTTATATAAGATTTAAATGCTATATATGTTGATGCTGAAGTTCAACATTCTGCAAGACAATTAGTTCAAAATTCTTAGGTTTATGTTCTAAAATTAATACATTATTTATATATATATTGTGAAATTTTATGGCAGGTGTTCCACATAATGAGTTTGATGTTTTTGCCTTTTATGTTTTAGAATAGCCCTATTAAAAATTAATACCGAGTGTAGTTATATAGTTAATTTTATATTTTAAATAATGAATTATTAAGTAAAATTTAAAAAAGATGATGGGTTTCGGAAAACTTGATAAAATGATGGGTGACAACTTAATTTTCTGATACCTTCTCCTTGTGGTTTCCCTTAAGACGTTTGTGACAATTAAGAAAGAAATAGAATTAGTAACTTTTTTCTTTTTTGTGACAATTATTGAAATATAATATTTTAAAAACTGAACTTGTCTTAATTTCAACCAGAAGTGATAATGACGCATGGTTCAATGATTCATCCCTTGATGATCGGCATAAATTTCAATAGAGAAACATGCACATTGACAAATATATAGATAAAACCTCGAGGTTTGCTGGTTTGTGACTAATTTACAGTTGAATCGGCTGACCGGCAGGTTTACTCCAGTTTTCAACACATTACCATCGTTAAATTAATTTTTTAAATAAAAAAATTAAATTTATTATATTAAATAACACTAAACTAAAAAAATTAAATTTTAAAGTAAAGTAAAATGAAATGAAATAGAAGTCAATGTTTAAAACTTAAATTAAGATTTTAAATTAAAAATATTTAATACAAGAGAAGTCACATAGCATAATAACAACAAAACAATCTTAAAAATACAATTATTCAAAATAATTGTCAAAAAATAATTTTCTTATCAAGTTTAGATAATTTGAAGAAGTTCAAAGTATTAAAGTATAAGCCATTGTTGTAATTTTCAACGATTATTCCATGTTGGAATCATGATTCGTGTTTTCTAATTCATACCTACCGACATGAAAATGAATATCAAAATTATTCCTTCCAACCAAAAATGTCTAAGGTCGCCCTATAGTATACTATATTCATAATTGATACCAAACAAACATAAGAGTGAATATCCTATTTCCATTCCCACTACTCTCATTTTAAAAATCAAACAAACATAGTGTGTTCATTTCAAACCTTCATCTTTAATTTAACTTGATTTCGTTTTAAGTGTAATTAGTACTGAGATGAGTTGGAGCTATATATATAATTTCACCCTCCGTAAGGCATAAAGCACGTTGTTTGTTACCTTTGACCGTCCTCTGTCTTCATCACGTCACTCTTTCTTCGTCTCTTTATCTTTTTTTCTTTTGTCAACCTTCGCCTGTTTACTTCATTCCGACAATACTTCTCCTTTTTTAATTAAAAAACGAAAAGTATGTATTTATTTTTTAAAATGTATGAGCATGACATTAAAAAAAAGGGGGTTAAGCCCACTAGAATAACGTCATTTATGGACATAAAAACTTTCATATATATTTTATTTTTTTAAAATGTATTTATATATATATAATATATAAAATAACTAAATATAATATAATATATTATTTTTAATCATTTAAATAACAGAGTTGCTGTAAAAAAAAAATCTAATCTTGTCGTTTTCGAAAAGATTAGTCCCAACGAAGTGCAACGATATATCACGACAAATAAATTTAGAAAAAATAAATAAATTAGAAGTCTTTACTCGGTGTAGTTTTCCATATATAATTTATAAATACACGCTTTTTCTTTTTCCTTCAATAATGTTAATTTTATTATTTTGGTCAACGACTTCTCCATGATGCAAATCATAAGTCTTCACTCTAAATATAAATATCGAATATATCTTCTTTTTATTTTCTTACATTATCGATATCGATAATTTTAATTTTATATTAAAAGGTTGTTTTTAATGCAAAATACCAGTAAAAGTCAAATAAAAACAATTAATTTTTATAGTATAAAAATGAAATAAAAATTTACCAATTGTAACGACTAAAACAAGGGTTTACAGAATAAATATCATTTGCCTCGCGGGTATGATCACATTCTTGTGGTGTGCTTCAGAGTGTTAACCACTTTTCAGTGCGTAGTGAAGAAAAATCCTACGAAGCAGGTTTGATTCCGAATAAACAAGTGCAAATTGCTCCGTCCACATCACTTTTTAAAATTTGCGATGAAATACGCAACACACAGCGTCGTTTTCTGTTTCCGTTATAAAATCGCGTCTATCGCTGACTCATTGCGTTTTCATTGATGTGCAGGATGGTAGCTGACGGCGCCGTCGACGGTGGAATACGACGGAGGGGATGCACGTTCCGAAGAAACGACTTCTTCCCGGAGGAGTCGTTTAAGAGTTGGGGAAACTATGCGAGAGCGTTGATGGAGACGCCATTGCGGTTGAAGGATCGGGTCCTAACCCGATCGGAGGACCAGACGGAGCTGGTGGAGATGAAGGCTCGGAGCAGCCACGAAATGAAGAAGACGCTGAATTGGTGGGATCTGATGTGGTTCGGCATCGGTGCGGTAATCGGTTCGGGCATATTCGTGCTGACCGGACTGGAGGCCAGAACGGTGGTGGGACCCGCGGTGGTGTTGTCGTACGTCGTTTCGGGCGCTTCCGCTTTGTTCTCAGTCTTTTGCTACACAGAATTTGCCGTTGAAATACCCGTTGCAGGTTTGCTTCTTGCACTCTGGATTTTACTCATTTTCACTCTTGGACTCTGACATGAAGTAGATCCTCTACACTCAACACTAAACTGATAACATGCAGTTATAATCCAATGGTGATTATATTTTACTAATAGTTATAAAAACTTAATTTTAAAAAGATTAAGGGTGAGATTGAGAACTGCAGTATTTGCAGTTGACTTTTGAATTATAAGTCCTTACAGCCGAAAATATATTTTATATAAAATCAATAAGATGTTCAAATATTTTAAATTATTTTTTTGTTTTCTTTATTATATTATGTGTTTTGTTAATCGGTATTCTAAGTTACAAAAAAATTTATTAAAATTATTTTAAATATATTAAAAACTGCATAAGTGAATGTTTCTTTTATGTTTTAAATAAAAATATTACTTTTAATTTCTTAACAAAACACTTATTAGCAATTTTTTTATGAGTCATCACATCACATCTTTCACCTATTAGCAATTTCTTAACAAAGCTTTATTTAAAAGCTGGATTTTTTTTTTTGAAAAAAAAAAGAGAGAAAGAAAGATTTCTATGATAAATATTCTTATTTAAGAGTTTTTTTTAAAATTATAACTCTTTAAAATTCTTCTAATTACATATTTTTGAATTTTTCTAACTTAAAAAATTTTATATTAACTTTCATTCCTTTCTTTTCTTTTAATTTTCATATATTTTTTTTCTTCACACTTTCAAACAAAAGCTTACTAAAAAAGACTTAGATGATCTTGCTATCATTACTGTTTCTCTTTTGGTGTGCTATATAGTAGTCTGTCAGTAAATAATTGCTTACGGTTTGAGCGGGATTCTTCTCAGCTCAAGTTCAAGGACGAAGATATTAACTAACCACGCGCGATTAATTTATATATATCTAAAAGCAAAAAGATAAGTTGAACGTTCAAAGGGTTTAAAGTAGAAAGTCAATAGAAAATATTATAGAGTAAAGTCAAGGTATAAAATGTCTGCATACGATTGAAATTGGTACATAATGGATCACTTTTAATGGAATAGCTTTTATAAATAAATTAAAGATAAAATTAATCTTGTGTTGTGCACATGCAAAGGATGTGTACCAACTTTCATAGAATAATTATGATTTTTTTATTTTTCTCATTTTTTTCATCCCTTTATATCTTTCTCATTTTTTTTACATTAAAATTATACCGTTTAATAAATAAAGACAAACATACTACAAAGAATTTTAAAAAATTAAATTTTTAAAAATTACCATCTAACAATTTATGTATAACAATTTTTAGTCCAAAGAAAATAACGCCAAAAAAAAGTACGAAAGAGACATATAACTAAATTACTCAGGTCACGTGTGGAGTCAAGCGAGGATTTCGGCACCCTCTTTTGCTGCTTGTTTTATTAAATGGTAGCGTGGTTGCCCGAAATTGCTTTTTTTAATATGTACACAAAAATACATTATCATCATTTTTATTATTCAATGTTTAGTATTTAATACTATTAATATATCTTTTATAATTTTAATTAAAATTTATTATATATAAATTTTTAGTATGCATGCTTAAATACACAACCTAAAAAAAAAGTTTATTTGAAGTTTAAAAATATTTTATTATTTCATTCTAACGTTGAGGGAAGAAAAAACATTTCCTTGACTAATCAAAACGGACGTCCGTGTGAAGGATAATGTGAATGCAAGAATCTTTGGGGTGTGTAATATTTTAAAATTAGTAAAATAAGAACAAGTTTAAAAATTTAACTTAAAAGGAGATATTTAAAATTAAAAATAAAATAATATTATTGTGTATTATTCTTAAAAAGTAATTTAAAATTTGCAAGTCACTTTTAACAAATATATTGTAGTCACCAATTTAAATTTCATTTGGCTTGTCTTATAATAATAATAATAATATACTCTCTAACATATTTTATTGTTAGTTAAATTTTATAAAATCATGTGTAATAATCATGAAACAGAGAATGAAACTTGTAATGTGAATGCAAGAATCTGTGACGTGTGTAATATTTTAAAATTTGTAAAATAAAAACAAGTTAAAAAATAACTTGAGAATATAGATTATATAATTAAGATAAAATTTAAAAAATATAACTTAAGAGGAGATATTTAAAATTAAAAATAAAATAATAGTATTGTGTATTATTCTTAAAAAGTAATTTAAAAATTGGAAGTCACTTTTAACAAATATATTGTATTCACTAATTTAAATTTCATTTGGCTTGTCTTATAATAATAATAATAATAATATACTCTCTAACATATTTTATTGTTAGTTAAATTTTATAAAATCGTGTGTAATAATCATAAAACAGAGAATGAGACTTGTATAATCTCACGACTCTTAATAAATTGTAGTCAATATTAAAAAAAATATGTAAAAAGAATAACAAAACGTAAAGTTTGACTCTAGTAAAAAAACTTAAGAAATTGACTCTTCTACGATAAAATCATTCAATATTTTGGTGTGCTAAATTATTTATTGGCATGTATAGGTAAATAATCATGTATTTTACTATATCGGAATTCAACCTTTAGGAAATTTTTGAAAACATAAACATTTTTAGGAATTAGTTTTTTATCATCTGGTATATACATTTTCCCTATATTCTTTTTAACTTAAAAATATAATAACATAGAATATATGTTACTTACCATTTTTCCTATATTATTGGTAACGTAGTTCTGATATTGGTACATACATTTTTTTCCTTTTTTATGCAGGTGGTTCATTTGCATACTTAAGAGTAGAGTTGGGAGACTTTGTAGCCTTCATAGCTGCTGGAAACATCCTCCTTGAATATGTAATAAGTGGCGCTGCCGTAGCTCGGTCATGGACCTCTTATTTTGCCACCCTCTGTGGCAAAAGTCCTAATGACTTTCGAATAATAGTCCACAACATGAACCCTGACTATGGCCATCTTGACCCCATATCCGTTGGAGTACTAATAGTCATCACCGTCCTTGCAGTGTACAGCACCAAAGGCTCCTCCATCTTCAATTACATTGCCTCAATCTTCCACTTAGTTGTCATTGTCTTCATTATAATCGCTGGCCTCACCAAGGCCAATACCGAAAACTACACCCAATTTGCCCCTTTCGGAATTCGTGGTGTGTTCAAAGCTTCAGCTGTTCTTTTCTTTGCATACGTGGGCTTTGATGCCGTCTCAACTATGGCTGAAGAAACAAAGAACCCTGCTAAGGACATTCCCATTGGTCTTGTGGGTTCAATGGTGATTACAACTTTGGCATACTGTTTGCTAGCGGTAACACTTTGCCTCATGCAAAACTACAAAATGATTGACACAGATGCTCCATACTCAGTTGCATTTAGTGCTGTGGGAATGGGTTGGGCTCAGTACATTATTGCATTGGGGGCATTGAAGGGAATGACCACTGTGTTGTTGGTGAGTGCGGTGGGTCAAGCTCGTTATCTAACCCACATTGCACGTACCCACATGATGCCTCCCTGGTTTGCTCATGTTGATGAGAGGACTGGGACACCCGTGAATGCCACAATCTCAATGCTTGCTGCCACTGCTGTGATTTCTTTCTTCACTGATCTTCAAATTCTCTCCAACCTCTTGTCAATTTCCACTCTTTTTATCTTCATGCTTGTGGCTGTTGGGCTTCTTGTGCGTCGCTACTATTCAAATGGGGTAACCACAAAAGGGAACCAAGTGAAGCTCATTGTCTGCCTTGTGCTAATTCTTGGTTCTTCATGTGGCATTTCTGCTTATTGGGCAAACAGTGATGGTTGGGTTGGGTATACTATTTTTGTGCCGTTGTGGTTTTTAGGGACTACAGGTCTTTGGCTTTGCGTTCCACAAGCAAAGAAGCCAAAACTTTGGGGGGTGCCTTTGGTTCCTTGGCTTCCTTCTTTGTCTATTGCCATTAACATATTCCTTCTTGGGTCTATTGATAAAGATTCATTTATCAGGTTTGGGGTGTGGACAGGGTTTCTTTTGGTATACTATGTGTTCTTGGGGTTACATGCTTCTTATGACACGGCAAAAGAGTTTGAGAGCAAAAGTATTACGTTGGAAGTTGACAAGGAGTGGACCAGGGTAGAAGATGGAGCAAAAGGGGAAGTACCTCTTACAGAAGTTTTGAATAATTAATATGTAAATGGTTAGCATATAACTAGCAAATTGGTTTCCACAAATAATTTCCTTAACAGTTATTCCAAATTGTGGGTGTGTGAATGAATCTGTCATGTGTGTGATGCTAAATTGTACATGCGGATTTAGCAACGTGCCCAAAATAAATATACGGTTTAAATGCTATATAAGTTGATGCTGAAGTTCAGTATTCCGCAAGACAACTAGTTCAAAGTTCTTAGATGCATGTTCTGAAATTAATACATGATTTATATATTATGAATTTTTATAGCATGTGTTCCACTTAAGGAGTTCGTTGTTTTTGGTTTTCATCTTGTAGAGTTGTCCTATTAAAACTATAGTTAATGTGATAGTTAGTTTTGTATTTAAAATAATTAATTATTAACAATAAAATAGAAAATTAAATGAAATTTAATTAAATAAACGTTGATAACTTTTAATCGTGAGTTTTAAAATTTATATTTATTAAGAAAGTTATTTTCTTTTTAAAAAATAATAAAAATTATTTAAAAAATTTTAAATAAGATTGAACAATATTTTTTCCTAACTTTTAAAATAATAATCATTAATCAACCAAAATAAATCAATCCAAACACGTATAAATTTGAAGGGACTGACTGAATTTGAGTGACTTAAAACTCAAACCAATGCAGGCCATTTCAATTAAATGAATGGTGTAAGAATTGGTGCTGCTCAACCAATTCACCTCGAATTTATTTTGGAGACAACTCAGTTTTTCTCTTTTGCCACGTGAGTAAATTTCTAGCATCACCCCGGGATCCAAAGGTGATGCATTCCCATTCCAGCACCCGGTATCTAACGTTTTCCTTATTATCATATTATTTCCTAATTCAAAATCGTTTTCCCTTCAATCTGACATCCTTTGCTGATTTTTTTTTCCCATGCCTGGGATTAGAAATCACCCCTTTTCCATTTGCTCAGACTGACACCGAATAGTGTTGGCGTGGTGAGTAGAGATAGGATTAATGATCGATTTGAATGATCTTATTCTTGCTTTCTAATTCTCATTTATTTGATATTTTTTATATTTAATTAAAAAATAACTTTTTTTTTACATGTATTCAATAACATATAATAAAAATTTATATATAATAAGTTTTTCATTAAGAATATAAAATATTTTAAAATTTAATGCACCTTTTTAAATAGTTACTATTTATTAATTTTGTATTGTATTGTATGCCACTAAACGCACATTAAAAATCGTTGAGTTAGAAAGATACATAACCCAAACCGTGTTTTAATATCAACAAGCGCAGCGGGTAGGGTTTGAGTTTGAGTGTAGGGTATAAACAAGTAATGGCAAATGTTCATTTTCCTGAAAATGTTTTTCCGCAGTTTTTTTTCTATTATTTGTTTTAGCCGAATGAGATAATTGAGGTGATCTAGAATTTTCAAAGCACCCTCGGTATTATCCTTATTTTTCAAATGACTCGTAAAAAATCTATCAGACCGGTCATTTATGATGCAATGCTTGCACAACATCATCAAATATTACAACACAAGTATCTAACAAATCACTAAAAAAACACCACAAGCTTAACAAGTCATGAAAGAAATAACAGCATGTGCTAGTCTAGGACTTGTAAGTCAGCATATAATCTGAATCAACCAATTGATTTGGGTATGGATACAAAGGAAACAACACATTGAGCTCTGGCAATCACACAAAACAGGTTTTATGCCCTTTTCATGACTTGTCTCCTCATATACATACACATATGATATCCGTCCAACCCTTATATTGGAAAAATATTCATTTCAATTAAACCATTGCCGGCTGCAATATCATATATTCATATACACAAACAATATCTTCCCGTGACAGCAACTGTGGTAATGCGTCGTATACTGTACCTTTTTTTATATGACACCATTATTTCTTATCCGTTGTAACACCAACGACGACATTGCTCACCTGTGACATATCAAATTCCTTTAAGTGAATCTTACTACGCTCAAAAGCAAGAATTAGTCAAATGCAGAAGAAAATGTATCCAAACTATTAATGAAGAGCAATAACAATTACCAATTTCCCACTTGAATCAACAGACATTGGATTTTCTACCACTACTGTTTGACTCTGAGATTGGGTCATTGACTGCAGGTAGTGAAATAGAATCATATGCATGAATATTAGATATCATAACAACCACCAATACATCCTTATTATGAATAATCACAATTAAAAAAAAAAAAAAAGAAGTTAAAAGCATACTGTGGAAGTAGAAGGTACTGTTCCAGTGTTGGTCGTCCCATTAGGCCTATGGACAGGGATTGGAAGCCTTCCATTGTTCATCTAGAGAAGACAAGAAAGAGGAGCAAAAGCGAGAAACCAATATTAAAAAATCAAAACAGAAAAAACTCAACATATAAAATAAATGCATATATCATAATCGCAAGAAACAGAAGTTGAGAAGCCTGAAGGGAATGACAATCTCATAATTATATATATTCAGTATATCATAACCCTTTACAGATGCATCCAATGTTGAATGAGATTCCAGTAAGTTAGCTTAAAGGTTGGGCATACAGGTCAGTTTATAGAATCCAACTTTTTAGGATGGATCCAATCTTGGATAACAGGCATGAGATTACTTTAATGACCATGGTTATGAAGAATAAAAAAGAAATGGATGGTAATAATAACACTAATACCAGAAAACCAAAGTATTTCCAAATAATATATTATCTATGAAAGTAATTCTATTAGAAAACACAGGTTTTAAGTTATAAAATAAAAATACCTACACGCTGCTGAATACTGAATTTGTTATGTAATTGTTTTATATTTCCTTTATTTCTCTTAAGGTATATCTAGTTTTGACATGATAAAGAAAACTAAATAACTAGTTTACTGCGTGAAGCAACTTAACAGCCAAAGACCTTCATCGGAGATACCTAATAGCAGATGCTATACATTTAAGTCTCTTGTGGTGAAATTCTAAACACTGGCCAAGCACTGATTTCAGTAACAGAGCCATTAATCCTATGTTTGGATTGAGAAAAATGGGGGGTCTCAAAAGGGAAAAGGCAGTAAAGGTTTCTATCTTACCCTTATTTATGAGTTTATTAAAAATAAATAAATAAAAGGCAAAAACTGAGGGTTGACAAGTAACCCTCCAAATTCAACTTGAGTTTAAAAAATGGGGAATTCATGTTATCCCTTCTTCTAAATTTTAAAAAGTTAAAACAATGGAAAGAAAGTCAAACTTCTATCTCTCATGTCCATCATTTTCCTTTCCTTTTGTGTTCTTTTCCTTCTTCAAGCTCCCAACAATTCCTAAATGGTGCAGGAGAGGAAGATAGAGAAAGGGTACAGATGATATCTTGTTTCTATGATATTAACAATGAAAGAAATAGAATTCAGTTAGAAAGACCTTGTGAAACACCTTTTGTGAACAATACAACTCCCCATTTTTCAAATCCTGTCAATTCTAAATTTTTAGCACTTAACTAGTCTTAACAGGATTCTGAGTGAGGGAAAAGTAGTGACCAGGAAAAACAACAAAAACAACAACCAAGCCTTATCCCTCTAAGTGATGGCCAAGGAAAACATGACAAAAAAATTTAAAAGCAAAAATAAAGTTAATAGTAACATACATCAAAATCTTCAAAGCATTCGAGGATAAAAAGTAAATACACAGATTAACATATTTCTATCAATACAAACTTACAGTGATATTAGTAATATAGTGACAAACAGCACATTTGACTGAGGGAGCTCCATATGGATACATGAGTGTAGTCCGGCAGTTCCCACAATGGACATGAGCAACTTGATTAGGTGCTTCATAATGCAATACAAAGCCCACCAACAGATAGTCAGTAAACAACAACTAATCGAATAATAAGCATAGTTATTAAAATATAATAAGGAATTCATCATTCGAGTGACATAATGATAAGAAAAACCACAACTAATTAAAGCAACATTGCATAAGCACTCAACATTTTATGCATATAAGGTCCTTGTGTAGAGCTCTAAAGAGTAAAATGAATTGCATTCATCCACGTTGAAGGGAGAGAGTAGAACAGAGATAGAGCTAGAGATAATTTAGAACAAGAATGGGAATGTTTTCTTATTCAAGAAAAGATATGTTACATAGGATAAGTAAGACATTACTATATAAAGGCTCTTAATAGACAAAGTGGAGACTATGTCCTAAACTAGTATTGAGAGGAACTTGCTAAATATCAAGACTCACAAACACTAAATGCATTCTAACATGAGAGATATGAACACACAATTGACGGCAAAAAAATGATTATGAAAGCATATATTTTTCAACAAAATATAACACAGTGCCAGAATAACAAGAATTTGGCTATAAATGACATAACATCTGCTTGCCAATTAATACAACAAAATAAAGTCTTTTATATATCATGTTTTAAAATTGTTCTTCTCAAGACTGTAAACAAAAAACATGAAGGATAAATCTAAAAATCAATATATTCATTATTCATTGCAAAGGAAGAATTGATGAAGACTCTGTTTCAAAATAATCATCTTTTTTAGGGAGGAAATTCTGATACAGAAACATATTTTCTGTGTGATCTGCTAGAAAATTAATTCACACAGAAATATGTTACAAAGAAATGTTTTAACAAAATTGCAAAATAAAACTCTGCTACTTTTCTTGTTGGAGGCTTCATTCTCATTATTTTCTCCATTTCTGTCTCATTTGTGCTTCTCTTCACCGACATCCTTTCATCAGCTTTGGAGCCAAATTGCCACCTATTTTTTAAAGCGTTTTGGCAAACCCAAATCTCATTTCTGTCAAGGAACCCAATAGGTTGGCAGGTCTCTATCCCAATGCGATAGATACATTGGGTTTTCTGTACATCAAATCTGCTTGTTCTTAACTTCATTCAAGCCTAGCAGAAAAGGCTAAGGAAGAAGACACTCCAGATTCAAACTCTAAGACACAGGTAAAGTTAGAACCAGAATGTGGGAGAGGATCAAAAAACGTCTTGGTTTTGATCAAGGTTGTTAAAATCAAATATCCTAGTTTAGGTCAGACAGGGGAGGTAGAAATGTAAAAAGTGAGATCATAATGCGAAATGTTTGATTCTACCTGTTATGTAAAAGTATATTTAAGAATATATATGTGCATATAAAAATTTGAAGTTCACAACTATTAGATTATATAATACCCAGCACCAGATACCATCTTTAATATAAAAAAATAGCAGAAACAAGAAGCAGAGAGTGATAAATATAAAACAAAACAAGCAGAGTAAATGACAGGATAAAAACAAAGGAATTTGGAATAGATGAAATAACAGGAACTCAAGAAGTGACAACACTAAATCTGGCAGACATCAAAATCTCGCATAAAACCACAGCCACACAGCCCAGAAAACGTGAACATTCGATCAAAAATCACAGTTGAACTCAAAAAAGTGAGTCACAAATTGCAAAACTCTCAGAACTCCATCAAAGAAATATGAACTTCCAAGGCCTTGCATAGGCAACTCTTGTTTTGTGCGGTCTTGCCAAACCAGCTGCTCTTGTGAATGCTATAGATACTATAAATCATCCAAAACTGAAGAGAAACAAGTTCCAAGGGAAACCACCATAACCATGTTGCCACTAATGTTCTTAGAAACTAAACTACCAAGACTAGTCCCGCATCCATTTTAGCCTTTCAACAACCTCGCATATAAACAGATGATTCTATTACAATCTCCAATACCATGCAAAAGAAATCGCACATTATCTTTTCAATCTTATTTTCCACCCTAAGGGAATTTTGAAGAGGGAGAGAAAATAAAGAGGGATACTAGACCAGGAAGATTGAATCAAGATAGCATCACCCCCCAAAAAGATAAATTTTCTTTTTAATTGCCAAGCTGTTAGCAAACCTCTTAAATGGTAGCATGCCAAAACAAAGGATCACCAGAGTTTCCCACAATGGAATGCTAAGATAAAAACAAGGGCCCATTGCAAGAAAGAATACCTAAACAACCTAAGGGCTATTTGGTTTCAGGAAATATTTTGTGTTTTCATTTTATGCTGTTATTTTTAACTATAAAAACATCATCTTATTTTCATTTTGTTTCTTGTTTTAAAAGATCTTTACAAGAAACAGAGGAAACAACTGTGTTCACCATTTTTTATACAAAACTTTGATAAGGTGGCATATTTGTTATTAAGAGGGGAAAAGGAAAAACATTTGCAGAACCAAACAACTACCTAACTTTTGGTTTTTCAGTCAATGACCAACACTACTATATTACTCACAACATTAGCCTAAACATCAATAACATCCAAACCACATTTAGAAAGAAGCATAGTAAAAAGTGAGCGCATCTAAAAGTTATTCTGATCCATGCATCCAAAAGAGCAATATCATCTGTGAACTGAAGGTGAGAAACCTCCATTCCCTCAGGTCCAACAACAAAACCTTTCACTATGCCCCCATTCACAGTCTCTTATCGACATACAAATAATTCTTTTTGAAAAAAAAAAAAAAAAGGACAGAGCCAGGACAGAAATGAAATAAGAAAGGATCAACTTAATGCAACCCCACCCCCCCGACCACTACACAGGATTTGGTAACCCCATCATGATTAACCATATTCAATCACCAAACAATCCAACAAAATATCATAATATAAATAGAATATTTATGTTAACAGGAAAATTAACATGTGTTCCACCAAAATCAATAGAAAACCCCTACACTCACATCACATGTTTAGCAACATACAATACTTATATGCAGTACCTGGAACAAGGTTTACAGTGTGACAGCAAGAACATCTCACACTTGTAGCTCCACGTGTGTACATTAGCAATGTCCTACAACCTCCACAATAAAGTTGAGACATTTCCATCCCTGCAGGCACATTATTATGGTAAATATTCTCAGAATAAGCATTGAGATAAAGTTTGACTACATTTAATTATTTAATACAGCACATGCACGATTTGTTTCTAGCTTAACATCTCGCATGTGTTCAAAATTGAATAATTTGCTTGTATGAAATAGATAAGGATGGGAGACACAATTATATGATATGTAACTTTCTCTAATCCTTAAAAGTTTAAGGACAATAACAACTGCCAATGAGATTACCAGGTGGAGGAACAGAGGTAATTGTGTTGCATAATGCACAGCAAACATTGGTTGCCCCTCTTGGGTAAAGCAGAAGGCTCCTACAACCATTACACACTAGTTGGCTCTGCATACCTGCAAGGTTAAAGGCTAATCAGCAGGAAACTCAACCAAAATGAAACCATACAACCATCTACGCGTCCCCCATAATTGAATCAATAATCTAAACTTAATAAACATAAGTGTAATTCCTATAAAACTTTCAGCCCTTGTCATGCACAGGGCACAGGGTCTCACACAGAATTCAAACATCAAACAGGAACCGGGCATCAAAATGCTTGATCCAAATAAAAAAACATTAGCACCTTTTCTGCAGACATTTATATGTTCAATCTGTGAATATTTTAAATCCCAAATAAGCGATTCAAATAAAAGAAGAAAAGAAACCCAAAACAGAAAACTAAAACAAAGAAAAAAAAGAGAGGATCCGACGATACCTGTGGCTCTCGAACCCTGCGAACAACCGATTCAGACAACCTAATCAAACGAAAAAAAAGTTTGGCAAAAAACAAGGATAAAAAGGGGGGGAAAAGAAAAGAGATTGAGGGAGGAATGAAGAAATCTCAAGATATGTGTGGAATGAGATGATAATGCTGTGGGTTGTGGGTTGAGGATTGAGATTTGATTCTCTTTAGGAAAGGAAGAAGAAAACCAATCCAACCCTCTCTCTCTCTCTTTCTCTCTTTCTCTCTCTTGAAATTTCTGCTACCAATATTTCCTCATCATCTTCCTCATCCCACACACTTTCGGAAATTTCTTCAGCGACTATTAGTCTACCTTTTTTTTATTTATTCATTTAAATGATCGTAAAACTTTATTTTATTTTATGGTAAAATCAAAAAAATAATCGAATGAATCCATAAATGGACACAATAACTTCTTTTTTTATTACATAAATGGAAACAAATTCACATCATCAAATTAATGATAAGTGAATCCACAAAAAAAAATTAATGATAAGTGTATTTAATTTTTTTAGCGTATATTAAAAAGTAATTTCTAAAATAATTCTATATTTAAAGGGATATTGATATTCTTTTATTTGAACCAATAAGTAATAAATATATGTATACTGTGTAGATAAATTTAGTTTATGAGTAAGATAAAAATTAAAAATATCTTACTATTTAAGATCATTTTTAATTTTCAAATTAATATTATACACTTTTAAGAAAATTGAAAACTATGCTTCAAAAATTTATTTTAATTTAATATCAATTATTAGTAATTTTATTTATTTATTTATATGATGAGAGTACGTTTATATTTAAATGGTTAAAAAAGGTAATTTAAGATATTTATTTTATATTAAAATAATAATTAGGCAATTAAAAATATTATTTATTTTTCATGGAATATAATTTTTTTACAATTTTCACCACATTTATTGAAAAAACTATAAATTATAGATAAAATATTAAGATATATGTATCACGATAAATTATAAAAAAAAATCATAACATTTCTTATATAATTATATTTCTATTGAAATATAACATTTATAACTTATATCATCTTTAATCTCATTCTTATATATTTTACTTAATATTATTTTTTTAATTTCTAATTAATAATTTATTTTAATTTTACATATCAAAATTTTTAAGAATAAATACAAAATATATATTGAATAAAAATCTTAAACGGTATTTACCGTTGAACCAACAGATCTGATTTAATATTAAATTTTGTAAGGTTCTTTTATAATTATAAAATTTATAACACCATTAAAATTAATTTTAGTTCATATATGATACAATTAAGGTACTGATATAGCATCCCTTCAAATTCAAATATACCGATAACCATATTAGTAACTTACGTGATAATCACAGCTTTTTTAAAATACAATGAGATATAATAAATATATGTATATCATAAGTTTACGTAAAGTATTATAAAATTACTATTTGTCTTGAATATACATCATAATTTAATATATGTATTCGACAACATAAATGTCAATAACATATCGTCAGAACAAATCAAAGGACATAGATGATTAATTCAAATAAGATGAAAGAAACTAATAGAAGCAAGTGCACATAGAAAAAATAGTTGACTAACATTCACAAAATTTTAAATAAAATGAGAAAGCAGTAAATTTAACGCGTTAGTAACCTTTTGAGGGCAATTCAGAGTCACCATCATTTTTAACCTTATCACACTGAGGGTGACGACTTCTTTGTTGAAGATTATATATTTATTTTGTTTAAAACAGTCGTCAATGCCAACAGCGTTCAATAAAAAAGGGAAACAAATATTCTTATCATAAATTTACATTTTTGTATTGTGCTTTCGGTCTTCTGTATCTAAATAAGCATAATAAAAAGTAATTAATTACCAAAGTTTTTATCTTTAACACAATACTAAATTAATAAAATAGCATAACCTGTCCTTTACTCAATGTCAAAGCTAAACGAGGCAAAGTTAAAGTTAATAAAATTTAAACTTCTAACGTAATAGTAATAATAGATGTAGCTATTCCCTTCGAGTTCACAGCGTATGTCTACGTATCTCTATATCTGACACACATGTTTTTCCAAAGAACACATAACTAAATTAAAGTGACCAAGTTTCAAATTCTTACATAATTCTCACCAATTAACAACAACCGAGTTTAGTTGGTTAGACAACCTTAGGAATCTAAAGACAGAACCCACATTTGGCTTCTTAGACTTTCCAAATAATATGGTTGATCAATTTTGCTTTGTGCTGCCTATAATAACGCATCCCTCTTTGCATTAACCAGTAAAAACTTACAGAATGGCCTCAGGAAATGGAGAAAAGGTAGAATTTGGTTTCAATGCTGATCCTGATACCAAGCCAAAGAAGGATTGGGCCCTTCTGTCTCTGAGGGTGGTTGCATTTTTGGCCACAGCATCTGCTACACTTGTTATGGCACTCAACAAGCAAACAAAAAGCTTGGTAGTTGCCACCATTGGCACCACCCCAATAACAATTACTCTTACTGCAAAGTTTCAGCATACCCCAGCTTTTATGTTAGTTCAATAAATTTATTTAAGTTCTGCAATATTATATATTAAACATTTTCACACTCACGTGTAATTTATATGGTGAGACAGATTCTTTGTGATAGTCAATGCAATTGCCAGTCTCTACAACTTGGCGGTGATAACAATGGACATATTAGGACCCCAATATGATTATAAAGGACTCCGTCTTGGATTGATTGCAATATTAGACGTGGTACTCAGTCTATCATTTGAGTCACCTTCACTTTTACACACTTTTCCATTAAGAAACTACTATTAACATCTTTATCCCTAGTATAATCAGAGAAATTGCATAATTTTCCTGAATTTAAATTTATATATGTATGTATGTATAGGTCTCATTTGTATATTAACAACTTTAATCCTATAATTTCTGAAAATTGTTTGACTATACTTTTTGTGTGAAGATGACTATGGCTCTGGCAGCAACAGGAGATGGTGCAGCAACATTCATGGCAGAATTAGGAAGGAATGGAAATTCACATGCAAGGTGGGATAAGATATGTGACAAATTCGAAGCCTATTGCAACCGTGGTGCTGCTGCCCTAGTTGCCTCTTTTGTTGGCATCATTCTCCTCCTTATTGTTACAGTGATGTCCATCAACAAGTTTCTCAAGCTAAATCGCATTTAACTATGCAGTTCCTTCATGCTAAGAAGAATCATGCACATTTTCTGCTTTCTATATATAATCTGTTTGAGTGCATGTATATATATATGTATTTAACATGGAATTTTATCTTTATAGCCTATATTTTACACTTGTTTTTCCTGAGTCCATGTTAGCTTCAAATTTTCTCAAATTTTGAACTGCCATGTAATACTTCCTTTGATTGAGTGCAGCTCCTTGCCATCCTAATTCTCAAACATCCTATTCGCTTATTTTAAATGAGAGAAAAATAGTAATTTCATGGTAGCAAGTTAATTTATATATTATTTTTCAAAAGTAAATAGATGTAGAGAAATAAAAGTAATAGCTGGAGATGTACACACACACACACAAAGTAGCATATATAATTTTTTTTTATTAAAAATCATATAATATAATAAATTGATAATATATAATGATACAATTTATAATAAAAATATATTTATTAATTTTTTTATGTAATATTAAATAAAAATTTTTAAATTGAACAATTGAGGGGCACCCCAGAATAGAAATGTCAAAAACAGAGTGTCGGCTAGGCAACATAATCAACGAATAGCAATGAACAAAAGCCCATAAATAAAGGGTTGTCAATAAATATAGGCCCAACATACCAAATTGTTTTATCTTGCACAACTTAAAACGTTACAAATTCTTGACAAAAAAAAAAAAAACGATACAAAGTTGATCAGAAAATACAACGTTACAAATTTTTTTTCCAAAAAACATATATGATAAAAATAGTTGGACCAAAAAATTAAAAAAAAACTACTTAAAAAATAGAAAATTAAATTATTTGTCATGAAATTTGTTTATCAAAGTTAATTACCATCATATTTTTTATATAAATTTTTTTTTTCAATATTATAAAGAATTAATTACATATAATAATTTTTAATATATTTTATAAATATTTATGGTATTAAATTGTTAAATTAATTATTTATATATTAAATAAATATGTATTTGAAGATACATAATACAAAATCATTATTTTTTTTAATGTGTACTAGATGCATATAGCATGTAACAGTCCGACAACTTATTTGGGATTGATGACTGTCCCTATAGACTAACACAAGATTTTTCAGTGTATTTTGTCCTCATTCACACACTTCTCAGAAACACTTGACTTTGGAGTTCTTAAGTAATAGGCCATCAAAAAGTAAATGTATTTTGTTAGTATATGTAGTTCAAATCAATTTCTTTAAATTATTCTCAACTATATACACAGTCTCTAGATCATTCTCATTCTGGTAGAAGTTCAATTTATTCATATGTCCCTTACTGCCGAAAGCCTGCTAGGAGTCTCTCCTTGCCCGTGCCACATTGCACCAGCGAATACTCCCTGCCCTCGCCTGAAAGCCTGCCAGGACCCGCTCATTGTCCGTGCTACAATGCACCGATGATCACTCACTGCCTTTGCCTAGCGCATGGATGTCACATGCCCACCAACTTCTGCTTGGTTCGTCCTCGAACCATCTTACTGGGAGCAAGACCTGTTTTGATATCATTATTGTAATAACTCGTCAACTTATTCGGGATTGATGACTGTTCCTATAGACTAATACAAAACTTTTCAGTATGTTTTGTCCTCACTCATACACTTCTTGGGAACTTCTTAGAAGGTCACCCATCCCATAATTTCTCTAAGTTAAGCACGCTTGACTTTGAAGTTCTTAAGTGACAAGCCACCAGAAAATAAATGCATTTTGTTAGTATAAGTAGTCATAATCAATTCTTTTAAGCTATCATCAACTATATACGCAATATCTAGATCATTCTCATTCTGGTATAAGTTCTATTTGTTCATGTGTCCCTTATCGCTGAAAGCCTGCTAGGAGCTACTCCTTGTCCGTGCTACATTGCACCAGCGATCACTCCCTGCTCTCGCTTGGAAACCTGCCAAGAGCCGCTCATTGTCCGTACTACAATGCACCCTGATACCATTATTGTAACAACCCTTCAACTTATTCAAGATTGATGACTGTCCCTATAGACCAACACAAAACTTTTTAGTATGCTTTGTCCTCACTCAAACTCTTCCTAGAAGGTCACCCATCCCATAATTTTCCCAAGTTAAGCACACTTAACTTTGGAGTTCTTAAGTGATAGGCCACCAAAAAATAAATGCATTTTATTAGTATAGATAGTCTTAATCAATTCTTTTAAGTTATCCTCAACTATATACACAGTCTCTGAATCCTTCTCATTCTGATATAAGTTCGATTTATTCATATGTCCCTTACTGTCGAAAGCCTGTCAGGAGTCGCTCATTGTCCTTGCCACATTGCATTGGCGACTACTCCCCGTCCTCGCTTGGAAACTTGCTAGGAGCCGCTCATTGTCCATGCTACAATGCACCGATGATCACTCTCCACCCTCGCCTGGAGCCTGGATGTCACGTGTTCTATAACGCTCTGAATTTTGTAATGTTGTTTGATTATTAATATATATGTATATATATATATATATATATATATGTGTGTGTGTGTGTGTGTGTGTGTGTGTGTGTGAATTGATGCTTGAATGTACATTTGATTGTGTGATGAGTTAGATGTGAATATAATGATATGGATATATAAGTTTGATTGTGTGATGATGCGAATACATGTGTGAGAATATATGTGAATTGGATGAGGATATTTAACCTGTTATTGGTTTTGTTGATTGAAGAATAGGCTAAGTTTGTGTTACAGAGGCATTATCGCTGTAGCGAGAAGATCTTGGGTGTAGGGCATGGATATATGGCGTTCTCGTTGTAGCGAGAAGGTCTTGGGAGAAAGTGGTGATTTTGTTGCATTCTCGTTATAGCAAGAGGGCAATAAAGAAAGGGTATTTTCTAGGTGTAGTCTTGTTGTAGTAAGATTCTGCAGAAATCAGAGTATAATTCTCTCTGATATTTTTGCTGTAGTGAGAAGGAATATCGTTACAACGAGGATGTCTCACTGTAGAGAGAATGTCGCGATCAGAGGAGTATTTGAGAGGTTTAGATTTTGAAAAATTCATTTCTCACTTTTCTCTTCGAGATCTCTCTCTGTTCTTTCGATTCTCAACCCATTATTACCTATTAAATTGCCTCCAAAGCTGTTGGGAAGTTAGATTGAAGGTTGAAATCAAGTTTGAGGCGTTTTGAGGTAAGTTTGTGAGTTAGGGTTTCGAGTTTTTATCCCCTTTCTTTAATTTCTCGATTTCTCATAAGGTTTTCCCTATATTTAGGATAAAAGTTCATGTATGGAGCACATTCTTTGTTGATTAGTGTTGTGGGTCTTCGATTTGAGGTAAGGGAGGAGACTCTACCCTATCTCATTTTGTTTTGAATCCGTGTGTTTGCTATGAGTTACAATCTGATTGACATGGAATATAGGAATAGGCGTGTTTTGATAAAGGACTCTTGATTGAGCATGATGAAATGAATATTGGACATGTGTGTGGTGAAATGACTTGATTGTGGTAAGATTTCTATGAAATTTAGGTGTTTGAATGTAATGTGATTGAATGTGAGCATATGTGCCATGTGTGACAGTGAATATAGGGATGTGATTGAAAATGTAGGTAATTGTTTGTGATTGCATACTATTTGTTGATGATGAACAATATGAAATGGTTGAATATATGCAGAAATGACATGTCGGTTGTGATTGTGGTTGTGTTTGAAATGTTGAAAAACTATAAATGGTGTTTAGTGACACACCGGAGGTGTGGAAGATGGGAGCAGTAGAAATACCTTGGGGAAGAGAGGGTGGTAGTGACACCAATAGTAAGCGTGAGTGCACCACAGGCCACACACTATCCTCCTGACTTGGCCTCTAACTAACACCTTTGCTTGGGAGGCTCAGTACCACACATGTATCCATGGAGCGGGAGCTATCTGCCGATCATCCATGATGTGAAACTGAGTAAGTTCCTGAGGTTAAGGGCATCAAGAATCTGTGATTACAGTGTCACAGTGAGCGTGACTAGCGTACAGTAAGCACACATAGGTGTTGTATGATGATTATTTGATGGTGCAATGAGTGCACTTATTTGCGAGTGAGAATGGAATGATAGAATTAGTATATTGTACTTGTTGATGTATGATTTAAATTATGTTAGAAAATATGTAGAATGGGCAAGTTGAGACTCTAGGCTTGTATGTGTGTGTGATAGTGTAGACTACTTACTCTTACATTTATTTTTCAGGTAACCAAGACGATTAGCATCAGACTCAGTGAAGAGATAGATAAAATTGTTATAGGATTTAAAAATTTATTTTAAAAATTCTGATGTATTTAAACTAGTCCATAGCATTGATTTAATTTAAACTTGTAATTCATCATTATTTTAAAATTTTTTATTAAAACTATGTATTGAAAACAAATTGAATGAAAATTTATATTTATTCTCACTTATTACAAAATTTATTTATTTTAAAAATTAAATTTAAAGTGTTACATAGCACATATTAAAAAATCACAAGAAAGCAAGTTTTTATTGAAAATGATAATATTTAATATTATTAACATGTTAAATCTTATGGTATCTTATTATTTTTAATAACCAACCAATGTAAGATACTTAATTAAAAATTCAAAAATAAAAATGTTTTTAAAAAACGTACTTTATGATTTCCAATGCCATTCAACATAAATTATAATAAAAATTTACTATATTCAATTTCTTAGTCAAGCCCTTTAGTAAACAATTTTTTTAATGCATGCTTAAGGGTATATTTTTAAAAATTGAATATATATAAATTGTTAGACACGCATTAAAGTTTTGATCAATAAATAATAAAATATTTATTAAAATTATAAAATTTAATATTATTAATATATTGAATTTTATAATATTTAATTATTCTCAACAAGCACTTTCTATGTAGAAAAACTTATTATGTATCCTTGAACACCTATTAGAAAAATTATAGGAACAATATAACCATTCATATAATTAATAAGTAACTATTTCATTAATAAAAATTTTATAAATAAAAAATATAATAT